GCCTGTGTCGCACCGCCCGCGCACGCCTTGCCCTACGCCGCGCCGCCCCGCGCATGCCCTGCCTGCGTCGCGCCGCCCGCGCACGCCCTGCCCTGCCCGCCGCGGGCTGCCCTTTTTCTGCCGCGCGCCGCCCTTTCCTGCCCGCGTGTCGCCCTGCAGGCCGCGCGCTGCCCTGCCCTGCCCACGCGCGGCCCTGCTTGCGCCGCCCCGCGCACGCCCTGCCTGCGTCGCGCCGCCCGCGCACGCCCTGCCTGCGTCGCGCCGCCCGCGCACGCCCTGCCCTGCCCGCGCGCTGCCTTTTTTCTGCCGCGCGTCGCCCTTTCCTGCCCGCGCGCCGCCCTGCCCTGCCCACGCACGGCCCTGCAGCCTGCCGCGCCGCCCTTTCCTGCCCGCGCGCTGCCTTGCTAGCCGCGCGCCGCCCTTTTCTGACTGCACGCCGTTCTGCAGGCTGTCGCGCTGCCCCCGTCCTGTTGCCAGCGTGCTGCCCTCCACGTTACGCGCCACCCTGCTCTGCTAGCTATGGCTACCCTCAGCGTTCTCACCTTCGATCCTGAGGGCCGTCCGATACAGTTCGATACATGGCTCGATTACTTACAGCTGTACCTACTGAGCGATTCTAAAGACGGCGTCTCGTTGTTTGACCACACGTCTGGAGCCTCTCTCGCCCCTCCCGACACAGCTGACAGTGCGACTCGCTCACAGTGGCTTACCCGTGACGCTGCTGCTCGCCTAGCCGTTTGTAACCACCTGCCGTTAGCCAAACGCACTTATTTTGGCCAGCACAAGACCGCTAAAGCCCTGTCCGACGCTGTAGTCGCTCGTTACTCCTCCCCTGCCACTGCTGCTCTCGGCCGCCTTATACTGCCCTACCTTTTTCCCAAGCTGTCAGCCTTTGCCACAGTCGATAACCTCATCACCCACCTTCGCACTAGCGACACTCGCTACCGCGCCGCGCTTAAAGCCGAGTTCCTGGACAAGAACCCGCCCCCGATGTACATCACTCTCTACTTCATAGTCACGCGCCTCCCTGACTCTCTTCGCGCAGTCAGGGACCACTTTCTCGCCCTTGACCCCACAGACCTCACTGTCGACCTGCTCGAGAAGCACCTCCTTGCAGCTGAGACTAGCATAGTCGCTGTAGGTGCTGCTCGTGGCACTCCTCGCACTCCCCTCTTTGAGGGGTGCTCCCCCTCCCCCCTTGCCCCCTCTGTCGCTTCTGCTGCTGCTGTTGACTTCCTTGGTGCTGAGGAGGTCGGGGCTGCGTCTGCTCCTAGTGGGAGGCGCCGCAGCGGCAAGGGCAAGGGAGGCAAGGGTGGTGGGGGTGGCGGCGGCGGTGGAGGCGGGGGTGGAGGCGGTGGTGGCAGTGGAGGTGGTGGTGGTGGCGGTGGGAGTGGTAGTGGGGGTGGAGGCGTCGGTGGCGGCAGTAGTGGTAGCGGTGGAAGTGGTGGCGGCGGTGGTGGCAGCAGTGGGAGTGGTGGCGGCGGCAGTGGTGGCGGTCGGGGTGGAGCGGTCCAGAGGGGAGGTTCTGGCGGTGGCCAGAGGCAGCAGCAGCAGCAGCGTCCGCGTGAGACCCTTACGTCCTAGCGGCTTCGTGAGTGGTTTGCTCAGCGTGGGGCGTCTGGGGGTAGTGTTCGCTGCCCGTACGTCATTCGCACATGTGATCGGGCTGGTCAGGCATGCGGGAAGGTTGGTCACTCGCAGTACCACTGCTTCTCTCGTCTTGACGACGCCTGTCGCGCAGAGTTTGGCGACGAGGCTGAGCTCCCCCGCTGGGAAGAGCTGCTTAGGACCAATGTGGATATCTTTGCCCTTGACTATGATGCTATTCTTGCTGCCATGTATGCTTTGACTGTTAGTGCTGAGGGTGACTGTTACCTGTGTGTGCCGCCCGACCCAGGTATAGAGGCTGCTGCGTGCGTCTGCTCTCTCTGGTACCTGCTCTCTCTGGCACTATATAGGTGCTAGTGCGTCTGCTCTCTCTGGTACTGCGCCTGATGATGCCTTGCACACCTTCACACTTGACTCAGGTGCTTCTCGCGCGACAGTACCATAGTCACACCACTCCCTGCACCTATTGCAGTCTTTCTGGCTGACCCCTCCGGGGGCCCAGTTCTTGCACGTTCCTCCACTGTTCTCCCGTGTCCGGCGGTTCCGTCTGGCTCACTGACAGGTCTTCACCTCCCCTCGTTCTCTACGAACTTGGTGAGTACCGCCGTCCTTCAGGATGCTGGGGTTGATACCTTTACCCCTGGAGGACAGCGTGTGGCGATCTGCACGTGTGCACGGACGGGCCGTCACCTGGCCACGTTCACCCGTCGGCCTGGGTCGAGTCTGTACACACTGACTACTGCGCCTGTGCTGGAGGTACTGTGCAGCAGCGACCGTTTTTCTTGCCGCCGCCGCAGACGTCCCTACTACCGCCTGCCTCGGTGCTCCGTCAGGTTCTTAGTCTTCCTTCGTCCACTGTCCTTCCTCCGCCTGACCTGTCACAGGCGCAGTTAGAGCCATACTCACCGCTGCCTGCTCCCCCACTTTACACTGAGCAGCCAGCCTCCCTTACAGAGCGTCGTGAGCCTGCGTCTCGTCCTGTAACGCCAGCTCGCACTGGTCGTCGTGTCCCTCGTCCGCGTCCTCCTCCTGTGCCAGGTTCTCACGTTATGGCACTTCGTCCTTCCTATGTTCCTCTGCGAGTTCCCCTGCCGTCTCCTCGGCGCCCTCTCTTCCTGACGTTCCGGACCCTGAGTCTGACTTGGTTCATGCTGCCAGCCCTGTCACACGTCTCCTAGCCACTGTTTGTCAAACTATATATGTGTTAGTTCTGTGTAGGCTATAGTGGGGTAGCCCATATGGGGTACAGCCCAAAGTTAGGGTTAGTACTTGTACCCACAATTCTGTTCAATGCAATCATTTTCCTGCTAGTTCTTCTGACATGGTATTCAGAGCAGTAGGTCCGTAGGACCGGTTTTTTTTAGGGCCCACCATCCGCTACCCCACGCCCTAGCCGCCCTGCCTGCGCGTCGCCCGCCCGCTGCCTCGTCAGCCCCGCGCGCCGCCGCCCGCTGCCTCGTCAGCCCCGCGCGTTGCCCGCCAGCTGCCTCTGCTGCCCCGCAGCCCTCGCGCTGCCTCTGCTACCCCTCGCGCCCAACCCGCAGCCCCGCCAGCTACCTCTGTTGCAACGCGCGCCCACCCCGCAGCCCTCGTGCTGCCTCTGCTGCCCCGCGCGCCCAACCCGC